AAAGAAGTTTTAGAAATGAGTTTTTCGTTCAAATTCGAAAAAAACACATTAAAATAGCATATTTCCAATATATTTCATCGAACTTTTTTAAAGCGCGTAACTGATGCAGTAAACTAACGCCATCTGACATGCCGCTTAATATATAAAAATATTCCGAACGCAAATTTTCTAAAACTGAAAACCTTTAATACTACGAAAATTTCTCTGAAAACATGGTAGTAGATTTTAAGTTTCATGTGGTAAGTCTTTGAAAATCTGATCATTTTCAAAAAATCTATAGATATTCTGATAGAGGAAGCTTCGCTGCATCTTCCTATAATAAAATCTCAACTTCGATATTTCCCTGAAAAACTCGATTTTCTAAGGGGGGGGGGGGCCCCTTAAGAACTCTAATGTACTTAAATACTGTACCTGAGTATAATTCAGTACAGTACCGCTACTTACTGAAAAGTACTCAAATAAAAAGTATTTCAGTAAAGTACAAAGTACTTTTTTTAAGTATCTTGAGTTTTACTGGTACTTGCTGTACTTGTACTCGTCCAATGACTGGTATTAACCCATGGTCTAATCCACTCACATTGCGATTATGTTTTCTTAACCTTCAGTTCAAACAAAAATGTCACGTTTAGTTGATACACTAGCTGCGGCAATGAAAACAACAACGACGATGCAACTAGAACTTTTTAAAATGCATAATGTCTGAATATTTTGTTTTTACTTTCAATCTATAACAGTTTATGCATGATATACACCAACTAAATTTCTAATTATCTAACGTTCCAATCAAGTAAAACATACAAGAATATTTTTGCTTATCTATTTTCAATAGTAGAAAAAAAAAACTGCTATCTGTATTTATTTATTGATTGAACAATTTACAATAATATTTCTTAAAGACAATATACAAGAACATATTTTTAACCCTTGAATACATTATTCAAACTAAAAACTAATTACATATTGAAAATCAAGCATTCAATATATTTCATCATATTCGAGTGCAAGTAAACCTCTAAGCTATTTCGAACAAAAACCGCTATTTCATAGTACACTTACAAATAATAAACAACTCTACCGTAATTTAATATTTTCTTCCTACAATGAATAGGTTTGCTCTAAAAATCGATGCATCGCTCACCCTTAGCGAACAGCAAAACATGGAACGTATATTAGATTCGTGAAAACGATGATTCAATGAAACAAAATCAGAGGGAACAAGCGGACTTCTGTACTTCTTGTACTTCTTTGTACTTTTTGGTACATTCTGGAACTCCTTTCTAATTCTTCGTCCTTCTTCGTACTTCTTGGTACTCCTTGGCACTTCTTTGTACTTCTTGGTACTTCTCTGTACTTCGCCGTACTTTTGTACTTTGGAAGTACACAAGTCCGCTTGTCCCCCCTTGAAAAAAAAACCCCATTGAATGATACGTATTTCGCATATATATGTTATCTTATGTATCATTTCCTAGGAATTAGAGTTTTCATACTTTAAAAAATGTCGCCATTCAAGTATAATCATTTATGCACTCTTTGATTATTTTTAATAAAAAACTACATTGTCAACTACCGACATCAATCCATAAAGTACCGAACTGCTCGCCAACGCGATGAAACACCACTCCTCAGATAGTCTCTTTTCGGTGTATCTCTCTTTTCATTATCAATCTCTCTCATGCTAACTGTCACTCCCACACAGTGCGACGTAGAAATCAGTAACAAAGAACGCACTCAATTCAGTCAACTTCTTACTGCGAACCGTTGCTTTATTTTAAACCGAAAACTAACATCTATAAAAAACAACCAACAACAAACAACTTCTCAATGGATATCGCATAAACATACATGGTCCCTACTACACCTCTTTTGCTCACTTCGAACGAAATGTTTCGACACACCCCCCTCATCAAATATCACATGACAAACGAACTGTCATAATCAGAATTCTATTCACCTCTTTTCCTTACTTCGAAGCAAACGTTACCACACACTCAGCTCATCAAACATCACATGCCAAACAAACACTCATAAAGATTCTTCTATTCCACTCTTTTCCTCACTTCGAAGCAAACGTTCCGACACCCACAACTCATGAGACATCACATGACAAACGAACATTACTCAGAAGACTTCTGTTCACCTCCTTTCCTCACTTTGAACCAAATGTTACGACACACTAAGCTCATCAAACATCACATGATAAACAAACATTACTAATAAGACTTCTGTTCACCTCTTTTCCTCACTTCGAAGCAAAACGTTCCAACACACTCAGCTCACGAAACAGCACATACCAGACAAACATTCATAAGCAGACTTCCGTTCCCCTCGTTCGCTCACTTCTAAGCCAACGTTCAGACACACTCAGCTCATCAAACATCCCGATAAAAACGAACATTCATAAGCAGGCTTCTGTTCACGTCTTTTGCTCACTTCGACTCAATCGTTCCCACACACTTAGCTCATCAACCATCACATGACAAAAGAACATTCATAAGGAGACTTCTGTTCACCTCTTTTGCTCACTTCGAAGCGAACGTTCCGACACTCTCTGCTCATCAAACATCACATGACAAACCAACATTCATAATCAGACTTCTGTTCACCTCTTTTGCTCACTTCCAAGGAAACCTTCCGACACACTCACCTCATCAAACATCGCATGACAAACGAACATTCATAAGCAGACTTCTGTACACGTCCTTTGC